GCAGGGCCTGCAGGTGCTCCCCACCCCGAGACCCAGGCCCCAAATCAGCAATAATGAACCTCAGCTCAGCCTGGGCTGGTGACCCGGGCACCAGAGACCCGGCATCCCGCCTCTGTCCTAGGAGGTCCCTGGGGATGCCCCATCTCAGTGCCCCCTGAACTCTTTATTTGCCTAATTTATATATATATATGATATATAAATATATATAAAATAGCTATTTTGCTTAAATTTCTACAGTATGTAAAAGTGAAAAATGATGAAGACGGGCACACCTGTCTGAGTTTGGCCCTCATGTCAGCTGTGCCCTTCCCGCTCCTCATGCCCCCTTCCAGCGGCTTCTGCCAGCCATGGGGGGCTGGACCACCATGGCACTGACCCAGCCCCTCAGAACCCCACACTCCAGTCCTTTCCATTTCAGTTTAGTCCTAAAAGTTCATCACAGGGTTTTTCTTTCTACTCCAGGACTGGTTTTTTATATTAAAAAAAAAAAAAAAAAAAAAGTGAAAACACCAATGGTGAACTGCCTTATGATGCCCACTGGAAAGGTGGGGTGGGGTGGGGCAGGGCCCCACTGGGGCTCTCGCAAAGCTGTGGAATGTACCTCTCCCCAGTGCTGTTTGAGCAAGCACCTTTTGACCAGTAATAAAAACCTTGGCTTTGGAGTTTTCCACTGCCCTGTCCCTCAGTCTATCTGTGTCTGGCTGAAGGGGGCTGACATAGAATGGCAGGGCCTACAAGGTGGCATGGGGTGAAGCTGCAGAGAGGTTCAAGGGAGGAGAGGAGGTGGGGACCCAGGAAGGCTGCCCAAAGGGCTGGGGAGAGGGTTGCAGCACTGCCAAAGGCTGTCCTGATGCTGTGGCCACAGGGCTGGCCTGGACCCAGCTCTGCCCTGTGGAAGGGCAGTGTTTTAGCCAGATGGAGACCACCAGCAGCCCCCTCCCATGTCTCAGTTCCTGGAGCTGTCTAGGGGAAGTCCTCCAGGGGGAAGGCCAGCCCTGGTGAATTCTGTGTCACTTGACAGCAGCAGCCTGGGCTATACTTCCAGGCAAGGGACGGGTGGAGCAGGGCACCCCGGGGCATCAGGGCCAGTGCTCTCACCATCTACCTCCACACCGCAGTGCTGTGGGATCCGGGGCTGGCCCTGCATAGCTCCTTCCCTGGCCAGGCTTCCCCATATGTAGGGAGGTGGCCTCTGGGGGAATCCCAGCTGAGGAGCTGGAGGGGCAGGTCTCACTGGAATAGAGGTGGGGGGGACCCTCAGGATGCACCTGACCCAGAAGGCAAGGGAAGGGACAAAGGCCAGTCTACTGAGGCAAAGACAGGGCTCTGAAGAACTTGAACAGGAAGTGACATCAGGGCAACGTTCTAGAAAGACCACTCTGACCGGCAGGACACAAGATTGACCAACACCCAGTTGTCTCATACACCAGCCATCACTGAGTAGGAAATGTAATAGAAAAAAAGATTTACAACATACGACATCTGACAAAAAGACACAAAACCTGTAAAAGATCTGTATGGATACGACAGAGAGGACCTGAGTTGAGAGGAAAATACCGTCTTCACAGATAGGTTCACATTCAGTTATGTCAGTCCCAAACCTACGGAATCAACCTGATCCCTATCAAAATCCTAACAATATAGTTCAAAAGCTTGACAAGTTGATTGTGAAATTTATATGGGAGAGTAATTGTTAAAAAAAAAAAAAAAAGCCAGGCGCCATGGCTCATGCCTGTAATCCCAGCACTTTGGGAGGCCAAGGCTGGTGATCACGAGGTCAGGAGTTCGAGACCAACCTGGACAAAATGGTGAAACCTTGTCTCTACTAAAAATACAAAAAAAAAAAAAAAAAATTAGCCAGGTGTGGTGGCAGAGAAGCCTGTAATCCCAGCTACTCAAGAGGCTGAGGCAGAGAATTGCTTGAACCTGGGAGGCAGAGGTTGCAGTGAGCCAAGATCATACCACTGCACTCCAACAAGAACTCAGGGGATGATGAGGGGACCTTGTGGGCTTGACCTGCAGAAAACAAGCCGGAAGCCTACTGGGTTTTCTCCACTGCACTCTGATCACCATCTGGCTACCATTAGTTAGTGTATTTGTTGATGGTCTGCACTCTGATCACCATCTGGCTACCATTAGTTAGTGTATTTGTTGATGGTCTGCCCTCCCTACTCCAGTGGATTGTGAGCTTCATGAGAAGAGGAATCTGGTCTTATACATTGTAGCATCCCACTGCCTGGCACATGCTAAGTGCTCAATGAATAGCTGTTTAAAGAATCAACACCAGGCCAGGAAGACCAGCTAAAGCAAATGCTCAGTGGGACAACACCTGAGCAGTGGGGGCCCATGGCTGCAGCACCAAGCTGTGAGGAGACTGGGAGATGGAACTGAGGAAGAGCTGAGCCCAGGGACCCAGGAAACTCCTGCTTCTTCCAAACTCTAGTGTCCAAATCGCTGCTCCTGACAGACTGTGGGGTAGGAGTCAGATTCTGTAAGAGGGGAAGAGAAGGCTTGAGGTTCCCTCATCTCCAGGGACAGGCTTCAGCATGAAGGGAGTTGGGAGAAGAGGCCAATGGAGAGACACATTTCAAAGTGGAACACAGAGAACAGGGCCAGAGACAAACCCAATGCTATTTAACTTACTGTTTTTACGAAGCTAGCCAGCATGCAAAACTTCAGGAGCAAAACCTGATAAAGACAGTGCGAAAATAAAAGGAATATATAGTTCAGTTTCATGGAAGAAAAGAATTTTCATAAATCCAAACAAGACAATAGCAAATAGAATCTAGCCACACAGAAAAGACTGAACCCCAAGTTGGTAAGCCCAAGCCCAGATTACTGCAGAAATGCAAGAATGGCTCAATGTTGTAAAGCTTTCTGTGGTAAATCATTCATTACATCAGCCAGTGCAAGGACTTCTCCTGGCAATATGGTAGACTAGGTTCCTGGAAAATACTCCTTTGTGAAAAACTAGACAGACTGGATAAATTTTTTTAAATGTTAAATGCATCCATCAACTGGAAACAATACGAGAAATACTCAGGCCAAAAAGTAAGTGGGTATGAACGCCTGGAGAGGTAAGAAAAGGTCTGAAATATTTTACATTGCAATTACAAAGCCCAATGAGCTTAACTGTAAGTTTTCACTGCCTCAAAAGAGCCTCCAAAGGTAGGGCATGTAATAGGAGATTTGGGGCTCCCAAGGGCTATACCTTCAATGTAATGGTGAATCCAAAATAAAATACAAGAAAAATTACTTGTCTTAAAGGTTCATCCTGAGCAGAGAAAAACAAAATCCCCCTTAGAATTTGTAATCAGGAGTGAACCCTCAGTTAGTTTTGCAGGCCAAATACACAGTACCTGAATGGTCCAATGAAACCTCTGACAGAACATAACATGGTCACAAGGTGGCAATGTTCCCAATCACCCGAGAGAGGCAAACAAGTCCCCTCTGGAAGATATCCCCTTCATTCTAGGCCTTAGGGAACCTCATATATGAAATTGCAGGGAAAATGAGCAGCTCACAGTATAAAATCTCCATACACACAAGGAAACAAGCCCCCATGAGCAAGGGCAACCAGAAAGAACAGATAACAGGATCAGACATAAAACTCTTCCACACAGTGAAATTATCAGATACAGAGAAAAAAAAAGCATGTTTTATATATTTCTAGAAACAGAAAGGCAGCTTGAAAGTAAGAATAAATTTTCAAAAATACTAAAAACATTTCAAGAAAATGTTTTAATATCACTAAAAATAATTCAGTGAATAGTTTACAACAGATTACACAGCTGAAGAGAATATTAGTGAAGCAGAAATGAGATCTGAAGACATTTGGAAAATAACACAGAGAGATACAAAGAGGTGAAAAATATCAAAGGGAAGTTAAAACATGGAAGATAAAAAGATCCCACATATGTCTGATTTGTTTCAGAAGGAGGAAATACTTTTTATGGAACAGAAGCAAACTTTGAAGAGTTATGGCTAAAAGTTTTTCAAGAAATCATGAAAAATACCAATAAACAAAGTTAAGCCCAACAAATCCCAATTATGGTAAATAAAAAGAAATCCACAGCTAAATGCAATACAGTAAAACTGCAAGATTACTAAGACAATGAAATCTTAAAAGCAGATTTTTTAAATTACCTTCAAAGAGCATCAATTAGGCTGAGTGCAGTGGCTCATATCTGTCACACCAGCACTTTGGGAGGCTGAGGCAGAAGGATTGCTTGAGATCAGCAGTTGGAGACCATCGTGGGAAAATAAAAGAGACCCCATCTCTAAAAATAAATAAAAAATAAATTAGGCATAGTGGCATGTGTCTGTAGTCCCAGCTACCCAAGAGACTGAGCTGGAGGATTGCTTGAGCCCAAGAATTTGAGGCTGCAATGAGCTATGACCACACCATTGCACTCTAGCCTGAGCAACAGATCCTGAAAATTCATCTTCAAAGGAAGGCCAATTAGACTGAAAACAGATTAGACTGAGAGTTGGCCTCCAAAGTAGTCAGAAGACAATGAAGTGTTATCTCCAAAACAGAGGAGAAAATGTTAGTATTCTCCTCAGTCAAAATATCTTTTCCACAGGCCACGTGTGGTGGTTTATGCCTATAATCCCAACAATTTGGGAGGCCAAGGTGGAATGATCACTTGAGGCCAGGAATTTAAGACCCGCCTGGACAATATAGAAGACCTCATCTCTACAAAAATAAAATAATTAACCAGGAATGGTGGCATGTACCTGTAAGCTACTTGGGAGGCTGAGGAGGGAGAATAACCTGAGCCCAGAAGTTCGAGACCGTGGTGAGCTACATAATCTTGCCACTGCGCTCCAGCCTGGATGACAGAGTGAGATCCTCTGTGTGTGTGTATGTATGTGTGTGTATAACTAATTTTTATTTAACATATTAAACAGTATATTCAAATTTTTAAAATACATATATATATATAGTGTTACATGGAGTTAGACTATGATGAGTTAAGATTTAAGATTATGGGCCCCTCCTACCCCGCCGGCTCCGGGCGTGGTGGTCGCTCAGCTCTCTGCTCTGGCACCGCAGCGCCGCCGCCCGGCCCCGCAGCGCCGCCGCCCGGCCCCGCCAGCTTCCCGGACCATGGCCAACCTCGAGCGCACCTTCATCGCCATCAAGCCGGACGGCGTGCAGCGCGACCTGGTGGGCGAGATCATCAAGCGCTTCGAGCAGAAGGGGTTCCGCCTCGTGGCCATGAAGTTCCTCCAGGCCTCTGAGGAACACCTGAAGCAGCATTACATTGACCTGAAAGACCGCCCATTCTTCCCTGGGTTGGTGAAGTACATGAACTCAGGGCCAGTCGTGGCCATGGTCTGGGAGGGGTTGAATGCGGTGAAGACAGGTCGAGTGATGCTTGGGGAGACCAATCCAGCAGATTCTAAGCCAGGCACCATTCGTGGGGACTTCTGCATTCAGGTTGGCAGGAACATCATTCATGGCAGTGACTCAGTAAAAAGTGCTGAAAAAGAAATCAGCCTATGGTTTAAGCCTGAAGAACTGGTTGACTGCAAGTCTTGTGCTCATGACTGGGTCTATGAATAAGAAGTGGACACAGCAGCAGTCTCCTTCAGCCGGGCTTGGTGTGTCCCTGGACACAGCTCTTCATTCCACTGACTTAGAAGCAACAGGATTGATCATTCTTTGGTAGAGCATATTTGCCAGTAAAGCCTTTGGAAACTGGAAAAAAAAAAAAAAAAAGATTTAAGATTATGTAAAACTTATCGGGTAATCATTGAAGAAATAGCAATACTAAGTAATATCCAAGCAGTAGAAGAAATACATTGAATGCAGGGGGGAAAGCTCAGTAAATCTAAAGAAGGCAGGGGAGGAGAGGAAAAAAGAACGCAGAATAAAAATTACAAGTCAGAGAATACAAATACATCAATAATACATCAAGAATTACATAAAATTTAAGTAATCTAAATGCTTCGAGGAAAAAATATGGACTAAGAATAAAATCCAGCTGTATGCTATTTACAAGAATACACCTAAAACATAAATATATAAACTAAACAGACTTTAGGGCAAAAAATATTACTAGATGTCAACTACTAGAATTTGTAAAATCACTTTGTAGTGATAAAAGGTAAAATTCATAAATTTCTTAAACTCATGCACTTAATAACATCTTAAAATTTATAAAGTAAAATGGATACAATCACAAAGAGAAAGATAAATCCACTATCATAATGGAAGACTGTAACTCATTTCTCCCAGTAATGAGAGCTCAGATTAAAAATTATGATAATCACTGTATAACAAACGACATCATGGACACAAACAGGGAATTACATGTGACTGCAGAACACATATTTTTGAAATGCACATGGAACTTTTATGAATATTAGCCACATATTTGGTCTAGTTATAAAGCCTCAGCAAATTTGAAAGGACTGATACATAGACCACATTCTCAGACTTCAATAAAGACAGTTCAAAATCAATGACAAAAATAAAACTGGGAGAAAAAAACAGGTTAGAGCATTAAGAAATACATTTGGAAATAACTTATAGGTCAATGAACAACAGAAATCAGAAAATATGGTTAAATAAAAATATTGTATGTTAAATTGCACAGAATACAGGTAAAGCAATACCTTGAGGAAAATTTAGAGCACATAAGGCTCATGTAAAAGGCTAAAAAAATTTCAGTTAAACACCCAATTTGAGTAAGAAAATGAACATTAGGATAAAGTCAAGAAAAGGACAAGAATAAAGATGAAATATTCATTAAATATAAAAAGAACCAAGAAAGCTGAGGTTGACTCTTTGAAAACCTAAAACTGTCAAACTTTTGGCAATATTAATCAGGAAGAGAGAGAAGGGAAGAAGGGAGAAGAGGAGTGGGGAGATGAATGAACAAAAAAAACTATTTGGAATGAAAGGGGACATAGGCCAGGCGTGGTGGTTCATGCCTGTAATCCCAGCACTTTGAGGCCAAGGTGTGTGGATCACCTGAGGTCAGGAATTTGAGACCAGCCTAGCCAACATGGTGAAACCCTGTCTCTACTCAAAATACAAAAACTAGCCGGGCATGGTGGCGGGTGTCTGTAATCCCAGCTACTTGGGAGGCTGAGGCAGGAAAATCACTTGAACGTGGGAGACAGAGGTTGCAGTGAACCAAGATTGTGCCACTGCACTACAGCCTGGGCGACAATGGCAAAACTCCATCTCAAAAAAAAAAGAAAGGGGTCATAAATACAGACACTAGAGATATTTTAAAAGAAGGATATATTATTAGAACTTGCCCTGTGGAGACGCCTAAAAAATAAGGAATATTATGAACAACATGGACAATAAATTTGAAAACAAATAAAATGGATTGGTTCCTACCAAAATATAACTTGGCTGAGCTCAGTGGCTCATGCCTGTGATCCCAACACTCTGGGAGGCCAAGTCGGGCCAATTGCTTGAGGCCAGGAGTTCAAGACCAGGCTGGGCAACATGACAAAACCCCATCTCTACAAAAAACATGCACACACAAAAAATAAGCTGGGCATAGCGGTGCATGTCTGTGGTCCCAGCCACTCAGGAGGCTGAGGTGGGAGAATGGTTTGAGCCCAGGAGGTGGAGGTTGCAGTGAGCCTGGATCATGCCACTGTACCCTAGCCTGAGCAAAAGAGTGAGATCCTGACTCAAAAAAAATAAAAAATAACAAAGACTTATAACCATTTCTTTTTAAAAATCAGTTAAAAATAGTCCTCACTGGCCAGGTGCAGTGGCTTACGCCTGTAATCCCAGCACTTTGGGAGGCCAAGGCAGGCATATCACAAGATCGAAAGATAGAGACTGTCCTGGCCAACATGGTGAAACCTCATCTCTACTAAAAATAAAAAAATTAGCTGCTTGTGGTGGTGGGCACCTGTAGTCCCAGCTACTCAGGAGGCTAAGGCAGGAGAATCGCTTGAACCCAGGAGGCGCAGGTTGTAGTGAGCCAAGATCGTACCACTGCACTCCAGCCTGGTGACAGAGTGAGACTTCATTCTCAAAAATAGTCCTAACATATACACACAAAACTCTACACAGATGACCAAGGAATAATTCAAATCTTACAGAAACTTTCTAAGGGTAGAGGGAAAAAGAGAATACTCCCAAACTCATTTCTTGAAGCTAACATAACCTGCTTATAAAAACCTGACAAACAGTATGAGAATGGACAATTACAAACTCATGTCACTTGTAATGGTACAATTCAAAATAAAATTAATAAATCTAATGATATGGAAAAATTATTATTATTCAAAAAATACAAGGTTTATGCTGAGAAAAACTAAACAATGTAATTCACCACATTAACAAATTAAAGGAGAACACTACATAGTTATCCTAATATGCAGAAACCACTTTGGTTAAAATTCAACAAGCATCCATGATATTTAGAAGGAAAAATAAAAAGCCAGGCGCGGTGGCTCAAGCCTGTAATCCCAGCACTTTGGGAGGCCGAGGTGGGTGGTTCACGAGGTGAAGAGATCAAGACCATCCTGGTCAACATGGTGAAACATCGTCTCTACTAAAAATACAAAAAATTAGCTGGGCATGGTGGCACATGCCTGTAATCTCAGCTACTCAGGAGGCTGAGGCAGGAGAATTGCATGAACCCAGGAGGCGGAGGTTGCGGTGAGCCGAGATTGCGCCATTGCACTCCAGCCTGGGTAACAAGAGCGAAACTCCGACTCAAAAAAAAAAAAAAAAGAAAGAAAGAAAGATCTAGATTAATTGAGAATTATACCATCTTCATGGTTAGGAAGAATTATAAAGGTATCAATTCTTCTCAGTTGAGGACGGATGCAATCAATTCCAATGGAACTCCTAAAGGTTTCCTCACAGAGCTTGATGATTCTAAAATTTACATGAAAATGCTAAGACCTAACAATAGTCAAGACACTATTGAAGTAGAAAACCAGTAGGACTGGCTCTACTAGATATCAAAACAATGTAAAACTATAAATAAATTAGTGTTGGCATAGAGAGACAATAGACAAATATAAAGTTCAGAAACATATTCATACGTAAATGAACATTTGATATATAATAGAGGTAGCACTGTAGATCAATAGTGAATGAAAAGACTACTCAGTAAAGAGGGGTGAGGTAACCAGGTATACGTATGGAAAGAAGGAGAGAAGAGGAAGGGAGAAGGGAAGGAGGAAAACTGGAACTCTACCTCATACCACATATGAAAGTCAATTCCAGGTAGATTAAAGATCTAGGCCAGGCAAAGTGGCTCACGCTTATAATCCCAGCATTTTGGGAGGCCAAGATGGGCAGATCACTTGAAGCCAGGAGTTTGAGACCAGCCTGGCCAATGTGGCAAAACCCTATCTATACAAAAATACAAAAAATTAGCTGGGTATGGTGGCACGCGCCTGTAATCCCAGCTACTTAGGAGGCTGAGGCAGAAGAATCACTTGAACCCAGGAGGCAGAAGTTGCAGTGAGCTGAGATTATACTGTTGTATTGGACCGAGCGTAGAAAGTTAGCACCAAGACAAAAGTATGCCAGATTGCAGGGTCATTTATTATGCCGGTGACCACAGAGGACTCACGTCTCTCCAACCTGTGGCGTCAAAAGGAGGGTGCCACGACTTTTTATACCCCGAAAAATCACCTTGGGTGTGGGGGTGAGGAGCGGGGATGGGGATGAAAAGGTTTCGGACATTCCAAGGGCTTGGGGATTCTGTGATTCACCTCCTGGGTGGAGACAAGGGCGGGGGTCTCCAGACATTCCAAGGGCCAGGGGACTTTTGTCATTCTGTTTGTTACTTCAGCGGGTTTACAGAAGTCAAGATAAGCATTTGTTTACACACAGATCTTAGTTATCCTGGGCTGCTTATTTTAGTTATTACTAAATAACTAAAGCAAAGGCTAGCGATTCTGGCACAATATCACATTTCCCCCTGTTCTTTTAACATGTATTAAATCTTTAATAGGTTTCCTCTTTTTGACACAAGTGCCCGTATTTGGATCTCAGAACCATCAATTTGACCGAATCTGTTTCTTCCTGGATAAATTTGAGGAGCATGTTTAAAAGGCATGGTCCAAATGTTAACCCTAGGACCATTAGCACGAAGGGTCCTGCTAATCCAGTGAGCAGGAATGTTAGCCAGGGGTTTGGGGGAGGGTCTCGGGTGAAAGAAATGAAAAAGTTTCTGTTTGCAGTATATCCTGTTATAGTGGAGATAGTCTTACAACCCCAATGGGGGCAAAAGAATTCATTTAAGTCTCCACAGTTCCATCTTTTTGGAGGGGTGGATTCTGGGCACAGATATAACCCCATGGTCTGGAGTTGTCGCTCTGCCCCTAAACTGCTGCACCCAGCTATACCTCCACTTGTCCTGAAATTTAAGTGGGGGCCCAGGAGGGCACAGAGTTCCAGGGAGAAGGTAATGGGGGTCTCCGGAGTGTACTCCAGGGTTAGGTTGCTAGGGTGGATCCCTTTCCGGTTAAGGAACTAACATATGCTCCAGTGGAGCCCTTGGTGATGACCCATCGATAGTAGGTGGGTGCCAAGGAGGGTCCCTTTCGGAGGGTGGTTGCAGGAATCAGGGAGATTAGGATGATGACTGAGAACGGCGCAATAGTCTTAGCTTTAGAGGGTCCATTGAGGATGGAACCGCTTCACATCCTGCATCTGGGCGGTCAGTCTTGACGTGTGAGTGGTGAATCCAGGCAGTCAGTCCGTCCACCTTGATTGCCGTG